AAGACGTGAGAGTTAATTATATATTATGCTTTAATTGCCCCGTCAATTTTAAACGCAACTCATAGCATTGAATTCTGTTCAATATTTATTCGAAGCCAGGATCATTAAAGATTCGCCCAGTATATATTGTAAGGAGTCTTCGCTTGCTATATGTGACTGACAGGAAGTCGGAAAGATTAGAATTGAGGGAATGGGAACTGTGACCGAAGCATACACTGAGGATGCACTGTACATACGCGCTTCCTCGCCAAGTACGAAAAGAACTGCGCGATGCGGCTACACCACTTCGCATGGTTTCATAATGAGCCGCCAGGTCCGAAAGCTGCGTCGACGTTACTCGCCTTCATACCTTCATGGACTCGCGGCGCATAGGAGGTCGCAGTAAACAAGGAAAACTTCATTTCCTCGTCGAACACAGCCGACCCTCGCATGTCAAGTGAGTCACGTAGGCGAGGTAAAAACATAATACCTGTTTTGGCAACACGCATGCTTAAATTAAGGAAGACATCGGGTTTACTGGCCAGCTCTTAGGTTACCATATATCGTACCGTTGGCAAATGAGCCACGTATACTTGGGTTGTTAGCCAAGAGAAAGGTGGAAGCAATGTCCGTGTCTGCTGCAACAAGTGTGATTTCAGGAACGTGTTATGATAAAGATGTCTTATGGAGCGTTCACGGGTGAATTCAGTTTAGCATTCATGGCATAATGAGGCCCATCCTCACTGCATGCCGAGGTTGTGAAGAGGAAGTAGTGATAATCTTGACTACTACCGCCCCCTTCCTTTTTGCAGTGACCGGGAATGTCAAGGACCTTTCTCTAATTTGTGAGAAAATTGCGCAACTAGAAACGAGGACGTAAGGCGAAAGTGAACGCTGTACGTACGGAACTGACACTTCGAAAAAAGACGCTGTCCATGCTCCTCAATAATGGTACCCGTTGTGAGTTACGCTTGTAGTGTTTGTCCTTTCCTCATACGCACACGTTCATCTCGGTGCAACGCTTTCAGTAATGAGCCAGTACTAACTAGCCTAGTTAGCTATTCGTGCTTTTATCACAAATGACTTCTCGTTCTATTGGGATACTGAAACGGCGCCCATATCTGCCAAGCGTTCAGATGCCCGCGTTTGTGGACGCTCTTTCTTTGAAGAAAGCTGACTCAACTGCCGCTCCCGGTCTTCTTCGTCCTCCTCCTCCCCCCTCCTCCTCCTCCTCCCTCCTCCTCCTCTTCCTACTACTATTACTACTACTACTACTACTACTACTACTACTACTACTACTACTACTACTACTACTACTACTACATACTGCTACTACCACTGCTAATATTGCTAATATTAATATTACATGCATATTACTACTCCTTACACTGCATTGCAACTATTGTTCCTTTATTATTCCTTCTTATACTAATTATGCATTGCTGCTGGTGACTACTTCACTAGTACTGCTCTACAGCAACTATAGCTTCTACTCTACTTCCTACAACTCTGTTTCTATAATCTGCTACTACTCCTAGAGTGCTTCAGTTCCTCCTCCTCCCTGTATACTCTACTGCTGCTAGTTAACGCCCCTGGTACTACAACTATAAACTACTGTTCCAGTTCTACATATTTCACTACTGTACCACTACTGCTATATATCACTACACCGTGCTTCTACCACAAACGCCATTACAGGTTGCATTGTGAATCGTTGAATCACTACCATGGACCGCTGGGTAGCACGTGTTAGGCTGGAACCGCCAACCTCTGCGAGAGGCCGGACGTTGTTGCTTCTAGCTGCCAGGCTCTGCAATGGGCACATGCACCAAGCAGTCAGTCGCGCACCAAGCTCGGTTCACAAGCACGCGCACAAGAAAATTCACGATTTGGTTTCGTTCTATAGCGAAGTGAGAACGTGAGGTAGAAGAGAAGTTTGCTACCGCGAACTAGGGCAAGGAGCATAGGGACGAAATAGAGTGAGGGTATAGTGATAAGAAACTGGTGAAGATGCGCAGTGAGTATCTTCAAAAGGCACGACCGAGAGGTCGTCGTCAAGCTGTAGTCTCGCAGTGAGAAATTATATATAATTTTACCAATGACACGCAGTCAGGCCAGAACTTGGCACTGTATCGCACTGCTAAGCTCTTTGGCGCGTCTTCGATTCCCTACAACGGCTGCCACACCTCTATCGGGGCAGAAGACAAGGTAGTTGGCGTACTTATGGTGAAGTACAACTTTAAAAGTCAGGAGAGGCACCGGCCAGATGATTGAAGCGCGGCAGCTGCTTGTTTCCTTGACTAGTATAGACCTGCTCAAACACTCGACAATGTTCTTTGAATGCGGGTTCACTGGCCGTCAGGCTCACGACAGCATCTGAAGCAAGGAGTGTGACCGGGCGAGTTGCCATTCCGTGATTACATAAACAGCGAGGAATTAACACAAAAACTAGAGACCGATGAAGACGGGTTCCAGTCCACGTCTGTCCAGTTAGCTGACCAGTATCAGAATAAAAAAAAAGAGTCCGACGAAAAAAAAAAAAGCTGACACTGATGAGCTGTTAAGAGGAACAATGACAAGTTACGCCAAAGTTATGATAGGCCTGGGGATCTTGACTACTCGCTTCTAAATTTCTTACATTACTCATGGGTCGTTCCCAAGGAGACCTTGTTTCGGTGCTTGTTTACTCGTGACGCAAATCGCGACGCCAGTCGTCTGCTATGAGACCTTTATCACCTTGTCTAAGCGGATTTATATATATCTGACCCTCACTGCTTCGCTCAACGCTTTGCACGACGGCGCTGCAATAATGCGCACACAAAACTAGTAAGCCTTGACGACAACGCACCGCGGCGACGAAATTGCTCTGTCCTCCGGCAGCTCCTGTGCCGGGAGGAATCCGCACGTCGCCTCTCAGTAACTCTGCGAAACGGCAAAGCTCAATGGACTACGTGCTACGTATATGAACGCACTTTCTCTCTAATCTCACTGACGGTCGTTGCCTTGAGGTCGTCGGTACGTACGTGTACGATTGTGAAAACGGCAAGGACACACAACAGTGTTGTGTCTCTGCATCCGAAAAGGTTTCGAAATGCCCACGAAGGCCTTGCTACTTATTCGACGTGTATATAGGTGTGGCCTCAGTATGCTGTAATCGGGACTAGAAAACAAACAAACAAACACGCGATCAAAGCAGAACAAGGAGACGCCTAAACGGTAGACAGAGATGGGGCAACTTCGACGTGTTCAGCAAGGAAGTACAATGGGCCGCGTTAACTGACTGTAGTCGTTACAAATAAATAAAATGAAAATGCACACAGGCGGAGAAATCAGCCGCGCATCGACAAATAACGTGGCGAGAACTCCATGTCGGTGCACCTGTAGTCCAGTCCAGTGCATGATGCACTTATTATACATACCCTTCGTTTTGCATACGAATTTTCTGGTACCTCCAGCATTTGCTGTAAGCTTTCAAAGCCACATAAACACTTCTTTCTGTCAAGTGATTTGCACATTTTAAATAAAGTAGATTACAGGATATCTGATACGAAAGGGTGGCCTTCTTTAAAGCACAGCCTGAGAAATTGTAACTCGGAAAAATCACTTGAATCCTGAATAGCGTCTTGTAAAGCAGTACTCAATTACGTGCGCATTCTTCGATGCCAGTTAAATTAGGTCCCAAGTGTAATGTCAAAGTGTTTTTATATTTAGCGTAAATATTTAACGTTCAACTAAATGTGACTTCCGAGATCCAATGTGTCAAACTGTAGCAGCAAAGAATCAGTGAATACGCTCCAGAATGTAGCTATAGTTAAAATACAACCATGATTATTATCCGAATCAGAGTGTCATGTGCGCTAATTGAAGTAACCGCAAGGCAAACGTAGAACTAAATTTGAAGCGTAGACCAAGCAATGTTATACTTGCAAAACTGAATAATAGAAAGAATATGCGCGTAGAAATGCAGTGCATCGCAGTATAGGGGATGTGTACATACAAATGAAGACAGTAAAAACGCGCAGCAAGAAACTTGAAAAAGAAAAGAACAGTCATAGAATAATGTGTGCTAATTTATTGGCAAAAAGGACGATACGGGCACTGCAACTTAGGCTGTATGTAATAACTTTAGACTGACCTATTTTTACACAAGGCGAAGATAACTCTATAACACAATCTCCAGCGTACACTAGAGCACTAAAACGTATAGTTGATTTGCAGAGGTAGGATGACAGACTGAACGACATGTCTGAAAGGATTGGTACTTGAACAACGGACCGAAATACGGAACCAAGAAGAAGAAGGCACATATATAAACACATGTGTCGTACATACTTTTCTTTGTCCCGTCTTTTGCACTGTTGTTCAAATACCATTAATGTTCTTTACTTCATTCAATTACGAAGAAATTTGTAATTATGCATAATTATGAAAGGCGTAGATAACTCTATAGCACCCTAATTATTCACAATTATACCTCAACGGTAAAATGTTCCCGTGCTTCAGCTGTACATTAATGAAAAAAATATTTAAGTTTCAGCTTTGCGACAGCCACTTCCGTTTTGGCTTTGCAAGGTAGTTCAACGAAGGTCTACTTTGCATTGGCGTATGATAGTCCTCGTCGTTTATGTGCCATTAAACCCAACAAGCAAACGAAGGCCTACTTTGCTACATGTTTCCATGTGTATCAAGAACAGATGCAGCAATTGTATTTTCACATTTATATTTTGTTGTTTTCGACCGTAATCAAAAGCGGTACGAAGAGGGTGCGTAGACTGGTTGAGTAAGAGAGTTCGGACGCAAAAACTCGAGAATATATGGCTACGTAGGCAAGCAATAAAAAGGTAAATAAAAAATACTAAGCGCACCGATAGCTAGAGAAATGGAAATACAGTTATGAGGACCGGGAAAGGAATGACAAACAGAGTAAAGGGGGCAGCAGGAGAGAACAGATGCTAACGCAGCAGCGTGCCGTGCGGGTCGGAAGAGAAAGGGCAAGAAACGCTTAGTCGCACTCCGCTCACCGTGACCAGCGACGGGTTGGAGAAGGCCTCGGCCGCCTGGCGCCGCTGGCGTCGTATCTGGTCCCGCGTCCGCTTGAGGATGTACACACGCCACAGGATTACCACCATCCAGAAGAGCAGGTTCAGCACCAACACCACGATCAGGATCCTGCCGAAACGACAGCGGTAAGCAAACGCTCTCGCCGCGAATGCGGAAACAGTCGCGCAATGCTTGCAAACCACGCGCCATTGGCTTATCGGGCGCACGTATCTATGCGAGGAGGACGCATCCGTCTTCAAGGGCACTAGGCCAGCCCGCCCTGTGCGCAAGCTGTTTGAAGGGATGATGCCGTGAGTTCATATAGCGCGGGTAAATTTGAGTTGTTTCCGGCCCCCAGTCTGGCAAGCGATGTCGTTGGTTGGTGTTCACGAATTGCTTTTTGTTTTTTTCGCTACAAATCTGGGGTTATGTTTTTAATTTTGGCGATCTTTGGCACTTCCGATCATGAGCATGTCCTACTGTGATGAGCGTTTGCGACATAGCGTTGTTATCGCAATACCAATGCGGGAACGACCATAACCTCACGTGGGAGCCAGAAGAAGGGGTGGATGTTATAACTTGGCAGCAGCAAGCACATGGACCGGGTGGATTGGCGAAACGTGAGAGAGGCATTTGCCTTCCACATGGGTGCATTCAAGCAGATGATGATATGAATAGTAATATTAGTAGGAGTTTCACGTTCCAAAAGCACTTTATGATTGTGAGAGACTCCGCACTTAATGGCTTCTGAACTTTCGACCACATGGTGTTCTTTAACGTGCTTCTAAATCTAAGCATACGGGACCTCTAGTATTTTTGCCTCCACTGAAATGTGGTAGCAAGCTTCTGGGATTCGATCCCACGACCTTCCGGGCAACAGTCGTGCATCGTTACCAGTATACACCTTTTCACAGGCGCACTCTCAAACCTGTAAGCTGCAGGAGTCGAGGATATGCTCTCAGTTTTAGCGTCGTGCCTTGGGCTGCGCATGCCGTATCTGTACACATGACACGCTTGGATGTACATAAAGAGTGACTGTTGGGGCAGGAAAGTGTGCGTATTTGAAGATCAGACCACCTGGTCATCGCTGTGTCTTGTGCGGGTACACCAACAATCAGTGCAAGAGGAAGAATTTGAGCGACATCGTGTCTGCAGCACAGTACGCCACGCGATGAGTGCCGGTGTGATATGTTTGCGCTGCATCGCGTTCCGAAGCAGTGGGTGTCGTCAAGAAATCGAGAGACCTCCGCATTCCGCCGTGGTCACGCCTATATGTCCACGGCACTTCGTTGGTGGTGAGAAAACCGGCGAGAACAAGGTTCCTGTGCTGCGCTTGCATGGATACCGAAAAAAAGGTACAGACAAAGCTACACTTGTATAGAGCGCCCAGCCGGCCGCTTTAGCTGCCGTTTTCTGCAAAAATGTGCGAATACCGATGACGTAATGATACGTAACAAGGTTATGTCGCATGAAAACCATAATTCAGGCGTGAACAGAAGCTTGTAGCTAATGTGAAGTAGCAACTGTGAACAACAGCGTCCACAACCACGCACTCCGCTGCTCTTGGTAAGTGTGATTCCGTGTGTGCGCAAATCACTGACGGTATACTGCGCTTGCTGCTGTACTAGTACCGACGACGAAGCACCATTGTTCGCAGAAGCGGAGCTCATTCTTGCGTAGCTATAGCACGAATGCGCGCCGTCTGAGCGGTTTAGACAGTGACGGATCGGTCAGTAGTGCGACGATATCACAGTCTTAGCTAGCGAAAAAATTGGCGAGTACAGGCAGAGATCTCACGCCAACAGATAAAGCGCCGCTTCGAGTACGCGCAGCCCTAAATGGCTGATTTCGACAAACTTTGCCGTTAGATGGTGTGCATTACAATATGGCGGGCGCCTGTCGTGAAAACTTGTATATAGACCACCGGTCCACCGCAGCGGATCGGTGTGGTAGCAAGTGAGCTCAACAGCGCGATTAGTAGAGGGGCACACCGGTCTTGGCACCACGATGATGTATATGCAAAAGATAAGACCGACGACCAAGTCATCAGCGTTGCAGAAACGCTCTCCAAGCGCCTCAACCCACTTGTGTTGCAATGGTGCGTAATTCATGCGAATTCATCGGTGACTCACGGTCGTCTACAGCAGCGCATAAACAAGTGTCGAAATAAGGAGAGACGTATACAAACGCCGTCTGCTTGCCTGTACGAAGGACATTCCCCTGATGACGCATGCGCCTATGGCGTAAAGGTTATTGCACTGGATTTCCGTGTAGGCGACTGCGAGTTCAATTGCATCCACGGGAACACTTTTATTTGTGTCTGCTTTTTCTACTTATAATAACGTCGTGATTTAGAATGTTAGATAGACGTAGAGAGTCGAATTGCCTTTGACTCACCGTGGAATGCTTTGCTACTAAAAAAAATGATAAACTCTGCTAATACACTTGCCCTGGTCACGACTTATTTTACCTTTGGTTTCTCTAAAAAGTAAATCCCCCCCCCCCCCACCCTCTTCTTTTCTTGCTAAACTCGTTAAGAGATCACACACGTCACACAGTCACATTCGACGTTGTGACGTCGACTGATTGATATGTCGGGTTTAAGGTCCCGAAACCCCGATATGTTTATGAGAGACACCATAATGTAGGGATCCGGAAATTTCGACCACTTGGGGTTCTTTAACGTGCACCCAAATCTGAGCACACGGGCCTACAACATTTTCGCCTCCATCGAAAATGCAGCCGCCACAGCCGGGATTCGATTCTGTGACCTGCGGGTTAGCAGCCGAGTACCTTAGCCTCTAGACCGTGGCGGAGCAGCAATGTAGGATAATCTCGCAGCTTGATTAATGACTGTGTCTCACAATCATCACTCAAACAAGCTGCGAAATCATTCGAGAAAGGTTGATGGGAAGTACACATCAGTTCGCTGTCTTACCACAACGAATATCTCTATGGGCTAGTTGAGTAATAACATCTGGGGTGTTACGTGTCATCACTATTATGTGCTAACATTGTCACGTGCTAACGTTATTCACTTGCTAACATTATTATGCGGCATGCTGGAGGGGGGGAGAGGAATTCGGAAATTTTCGACCATCTGGCGTTCTTTATCGTGCACTGACATCGCACAGAACACGGTGTTCTAGCGTCTTGCTTCCATCGAAATGTGAGCGTTGTTGTGGGAATCGTACCCGTGACCTTCTTGTCGGCAGCCGAGCGCCATAACCACCGCGGCGGACTTTCTCGGTCTAATCTGCAAGTACTCTAAGGTAATATAGCGCAGCATGAGAAACAATAAAAACAGGGAACACAGCTAGAGCAACTATACTGAACCACATTCGTGTAAAGTTCGCTTCACTCTGGAGTCGTCACCAAAAAGTGAACGCCACATCGAGAGTATACAGAAATCACGCATTCTGTGTATTATAAGGCCATGTATTATAAGGAGCTGTGCCTGCATGGTGGGCAGTCGTGCAGATGCGAACAACAAACGACCATGCTGCGGGGCTGAACTCATCAATCTATTAGATTAGAGCACAAGTTAGAAAGGTCGCACAGGTCAGTGCATCGGTCAGACCACCGAGCTTACTTTCATTTATCTGAAGTGCACGTGCTCGCTTCTCTGTATAAGTCAAGGCTGTGTGTTGCCTGAAGGGAATGTGTTAAGCGCTTGATGAGGCAGTCAAACGAATGTTACAGCAACGCCTCCTTTGTACGGGAGCATTGGTCACAGGCACATAGAAGATCTCACATCTTCCGCCAACGGAAACATGACACTGCTACTCACGGTGGCACTGTAGAAGACAGGGACATTAATTTGGGGATAACGAATTTAGGACCGAACGAATAGGGTGAAGGAACTAACAAATGAGTGAACTAGCGAATGGGAACGTAGAGTGAGTGAATTTATCAAGGAGCAGCAAACGCATTGAATGAGAGAATGACCGATTGGATGAATGAAGTACGACAAAAAAAAGTAAATCATTGCAAGAATAAATTTGTACGGAAAGGAATGAATGCATGCGTGAGTGACCGTATCAATGAAATCTACGAACGAACGCCGAGAAAAGAATGAACGAAGGAAACGCGCGGAACGAAAATTGTGCGCGCGCAGAAGGGAGTGAGCGTGAAAAAATTAAAAAAAAATGAATAAATGTCACACGAACGAACGGGCGTAATCGCGAGACAGTTGTATGCGTACTTGCCCAGTACTTTGCCGTTGCAAATGCACGGGTAAGTGTCCGTGGTCCTCCTCTTGAGAATGCTCCGTTCCAAACCCGTCCACAGCTTCGCTTCCGTTTGCCATCGCCGCGTCAATAAATGTCTTCGGGATCGGAGGCCTAGGCGTCGCATTGCTATTATACTTCCGTGTCGCGTGTGTGTCCGGTGTCAACGCATTATTCAGCTCAAATAATGACGAATGAAGTATGCGGTAAAGCGGCTTCCTTGTGTACACGTGTATGCTGCACGAGGTATATACACGCGTCGTGTTTCCGTACAGGAAGCCCCGAGTTTAAAATTCGTCATATCGCATCTCGTACATGGCCTAGGAACGTTGCAGTGTTCAGGTCCAAGCACTCCGGATTTGCCTAGGCTTGCCTCGTAGTGCGTCGACAGTGGCTTATATAGCAATCCTTGGTGACCACCTCATCGTGACACATATTGACGTTGAAACTCTCAGGTCACATATAAGGGCTATTGCTCAGATATCCTGCCACCACCTAGCCTCTTTATAAGCAGACCACGTTTGTCCTTTTACCAAACGGTAACAACGTACCGCGACTCTTTTAAGATTGTGTTGCGTAGAATTTCGACTCTTTAATTGCCAACACGCTTCACACCCGCCCCGATGCTTTCGACTGCTCCTTGGTGCCTGAATCAGGCCAACAATACCTGGCCTCCAGAAAGAAGCAGATATGTCGTCACCTACTCTTCAGCAGCTTTTAGGAGCGAAGCTCCTTAAGGCGTGGGCTGTGCGTCCCCTGTATGTAGCCACCTCTCGTTCAGTTCTAAGTATTACGCTAGCCACCGCCCGATCTAAAGGGTACAGCCATATCCATCCGTCCATCCGTCTGTCCATCCATCCATCCATCCATCCATCCATCCATCCATCCATCCATCCATCC